CAGATTTTTAAAAGATTTGAACAACTCATGCATAATTGCTTTGAAGAAGAGAAATCAAACCTCATCTTGGTTCTATAGATGCTCACATTTAAGCATAAAGTAAATGTCCATCTAATTTTTTTCTGTGAATATTATATTTCAGGAAGAGTGCAGCATATTCAAACAGACTATCAACATCAATATGAAAGATAATGACTTCCCAAAGGAATTGTAACATTTGCCGCATTGGCATCCAGAACCATAAACTAATAATCTGCAGAAGGTAAACAAACCCCAAGTTTTATCACTCCAGGTACCCCATGCAATCACTAGCCAATAGATAAATCCAAGGGATTAAGGCTAAGACATTTACAAAATAATATGTAACTCGTAATAAACTTAGTACAGATTTCTGTTTATGCCAAAGAACATAAAAGGAAGATATAACAATCAGGAAAGCACAGAATCATTAGAAAACTGCAGCAAAAAGTAACCTTCTTGAACTGCATCCTGCATCAGTCAATGCAAGTGTAACAACAGTTCAAGGAAACACAACAGAATTATTGCTGCTACTAGTACATACCAGTTTGAATAAAGAGCACATGAATTCTTAATATACGAGTACTTGAAAAGGAAAAGTAGGAATATCCATCAACCTCTAGCACAGAACGCCATTTCCATCATCTGCGTTAGGGGAGAGTGTTAATATGTCTTCAAAACAATTAATTCAATACTAATTGGGACTGAGGAAGCTCATTCTATCTTTTATCCTAATACTGGTAGTTAAAAGGTGATTTTAATTGCCATAGTAATCAGATATAATGAAGAGCAAAACTGTTTCTGATTAAATAACATTTGCATCAGAATGGCTGTTATTCGATTTTCAGCTCCTAGAAAGCTGTCTTCAGTTCTTTTTTTTCCTCTCTCTTGTTCAGATATGCACATAGAAGCAATGCTGCAAGAATTTTGCAGATGTTTAATCAGATGGAAGTCATGACAGTCTATGTATAAATGTATCATAGCCCAGTCTGCCACAGCTCTCAAAAAATAGGAAACACTGCTGAAAAAAAAGCTATAAAGAATGTTCTCTTTCTATAGAGCTAGTGAATGCTAAAGAAGAGAAGGGACTGTTAAGCCCTTTTCCTACAGAATTCCTGTCCTGTAATGAGAAGAATGGTTCCTGATTTAGACGGTGAAATTTTGGTTCTTTAGGTACGTGGGTCATTTAGGTCTCTCTATGTCTCCATACTTCACCAGGAAAACAGGCAAATAGACGTACCTTTCTAGTTCAGGAAACATAACAGATGTGCAAATAGCAGCAGAGTGAAAAGAACACCAAAAAGGACCAAATATTCCTAAGCCCTATAGCTACAGCTGAGGAGGTGGAGCTGACCATCCACATGCAATATTGACTGGAAGTAACAGAGTACAACAGTTGCCAGAATGTCTTGCTGTGGCTTTGACTGCATCACAGATTGACTGCACCATAGATCACAGTGAGACATGTTCAGGCATGACATAATGGGAAATATGTATTAATAGTAAGAATTCTTAAAGTGGAGATATTATTCTTATAATTCTTATATTATTCTTATAATATTAAACATCAGGTCTCACTATAAATTGTTTAAAGGTGCAGTTTTAAATAATTGGTATATGAAATACACTTTTTCATTAAGAACAGTTGAAAATGTCTTCTGAAAAACATTAATTCAAAAGTTATCTAACCAGGTAACAGCAAAAAAATACTTATTTTAGAACTACACTACACTGGAAAATGAAGGAACCCTATTGCTGTGACCTGAAAGGCTGCGTTAAAATTTTATTCTTGAAGATATAGCTAGATAAATAACTGAAAAAGAGTTAGGTTAAAATACCCTTTGGGTGAAAATCACCTTGTCAAAATGACAGCTTGAGAGGACATCTGCCTCCTTCCTCTAAGTCTTCTGTGTCACATTCACTTACACAAATTTGCAAACTATTTATATAAGCAGCAATGAGCATACAGAAGTAGATGTATCAAGAAAAAATAGTTACTTGGAAAAAACAATTAATTGAATATCAATGTCGTGGAATCCACGGAGGATGGAGCTATCCCCCACTTCCTGCCACAGCCATAGAGTTGTACTATGTGAAATAGATATTTCAATACATTTAAAAATTGGAAAAAAAGTATTTTAGAAGCTTTAAACTAACTTTCTGTCACTGGCTTCAAAACATTAGTCACTTCAATGGCAGTTTTAGAGCATTTGGCCATGTACAGTTATTCACATATTTGCAGTTTCCGTAAAAAAGAAATATAATGCAAATTTAAACTTTAGTTGTATATGTCTATAGGAAAAGTCTTTCACAATGAAAAGCAAAATGCTATCAGCATATTGAGGCATCTATGTTACTGCTAAGCATGGTCTACTCCTCACCTGCTTAGAAAATTAATGGATGTAGACAGGTATGCTCTCACTGACTGAGCTGAAGCAATTTAGGAAGGTGTAACTTTGACCTGTTAGCTACAGCCTTTAAACACAGACCAGTTCACAGACAATAGTATCTAAGTGGGCTTCTCATACTTTTCAACAGCTAATAAAACATGTTAGCTTACATTGTTTTAAGTGGTAGTTTAAACTAACCTCTCTCAGTATGTCTGCAAGCACACGGGAAGAGGGGAGGGTGATGATGGGGTATTTAGGCTCTTACCCCACTCACAGAAAAGTGCCTGTCCATATTATAAAGGCCTTTCTTTTGGCAGGTGATAGATATTAAAGAAAGATTAGTAAAATGCTGAAAGAATGGATTAGAAAAGTCTCATTAGACATCTCCATGAGCTTAACTTCACAAAATATAGAAAACGTATTTATGCATCACCTGTATTTAAATTTTGTATTTTGTTTATAGTTAAACTGAAATTATTAGAAGAATCTTTATTTGATATGAAATTTGCCATCTATACAAAACAACAGAGTTGTTCACTAAAACTTATGCTACAGTATATTCCATGCAGTGTCACTGTCACTTTAAGCAGGCAAAAAATAATAGGATTTGTGGTACCACTGCAGAAACACTCCAAACCAGCCCTAGGGAAGTAACTTTTAAAAAAACAGAAACCAATCAAATAAACAGCAAAACTGAGGCTTTGTGGCAAAGTGATGTACACAAACACATGAGAATTTTCAAAAGATTCTCACATAAATTATTTGTTCTCTATCATGGTATTCAAATTACAGTACATAAATATAAATTCATTTTTAAAACTCAGCATGCAAAGAATGAAGTATTGGGAAAAACAATTTATCACAATCAGCAAATACAATAGCAAATCTAATTTATTTCTTAAAATATAATTATTAGCACATATAAAGTGATCACAGAAGAAAGATTTTTCACTTGTAAATAAAACTTGTTCTCACTTTGTCCACTTCCTTGTTTTCGCAGACAATCGGTCTGCAATTGGTTACCGATTTTTACCAAATTTAAACTGTGAAATTACTGAGCAGAAAAAAAAAGCACAAAGTTGTGACACTTGTATACATACCTCAATAAAGATAAAGCAGCACTACCTGCTCAAATCACTGTAAATATGATTCAGTCTGATAAAGTAACGCTTAAATAGATTATATATTTGAAATAGATTATATATTTGTAAGATTATATTGATACAAGTGTAAATACTGGTTATAGAGAAATGTGGATGCCAAACAGGAGGTGGAGGGTGGATGGCTCATGTTTCTTGAGGGCTGGCTGTCCACACACAAAGCATAGATTGTCACTAGTGATGGAAAATATACTGATGTGCCAGAAATACTAACATTCTAAATATATGCAACACCAAATGGTATCGTCAGTATTACACAACAATATTTTTGCGTTATCAGTGATGGAAATTCTGACCAGTACTTTGTCTTTTCATGGTTCCATGTTCACCTCCACAGTCATCCTAATAAATGTTGGAGTGGGACTGTTAGCCTGGTCTAGTATTTTTCACCCTTGTATAAATTGACTTTACAGATACTGTATATACGCCCTTGAAAGGCTATGTTATTTCTAAACTTACCCCCATTTGATCAGCCTTCAGCGTTGCCCTATGTTAGTTTGCCATAATTATATGATCTGCTGCAACATTATCCTTACTCAAAGTTAATAGATCATCGCATCTTTCATAACATTCATCGTAACAAAAAACCCAAACAGCATTTGTCTATGAGTATGCACCTATTAGACTGTTCAGTGGATAAAAAAGGACATGTGTTTTACAGCTGGGTCAGATCAGTGGATTAACACAAATTCACCAAAACTGAACAAAAAACTGCAGCCTCAAATAATCTCTTGCACAATCCAATGTAGAGTTTTACTCTGCTTGCCTTCTGGACTCAAAGTAGTAAAGAATAAAGCCTGTATTTTACAACCTTTTGGAAATCTATGCAGTATCAATATCGGGACCACACAATTCCTCTTGCTTTCTTACTTTCTTCTCTCTTAGGGTGGCCTCGTGCAAAACACAATATTCTCACAGCTGACAAGGTCAACACATTGCTTTTTATCATGCTGAAATGTCACTCTATACTTCAGCTTCAAGCTCAACCAGATTTTCTAGCTCCTAGTAGGACTGTTGGGAGAACATCCATTATAAGATGGATACTCCAACCCCAAAAAGAAAGAAGTTAATTGCCACACTACCTTGATTATAGAGATGTTTACAGAATGAAATTAACAACAAAGCAAGTAAGATACTTCTTCCTGGAAGTAAATCCATATGAAAAAAATCAATTAACTGCCACAAATGAAAACAAGCCAATAATTCACAACAAAACGACTTGAAAGGAACATTAAAAATATTAAGTGGCAGATATGGAATTACACGATCAGGTAGGCTAAAACAAAACAGAATTTTAACTGAAAAAGTTAACCTTTTTTTCAGCTTTCAAAACAGACAGCAACTATTTTTCATATTGATCAGCGATAGCCTTCAGTTTGTTACTCCTTACTTTTTCTTTTAACAAATCTCTCTACTAAAAATGATGCCTTACCTTTGTTCATATCAATCAACTGCTGCTTCTTCTTCTGTCGCTCCAGTTTCTCTCGTTCAGCTTTCTCTTTTGCCAGTTTGGCTCTCTTCGTTTTCTCCTCCAATTCTCTTCTTTTGTTGTTTTCTTTTAACGCTTCCTGCATTAGGCAAAGTGAACATGGGTAACTATACGCTAAGGGAAACTAGAAAGAATAACAAAAATAACCTTGTTTGCACAGATAGTGTATTGCATCTGGGGGGTGGATGACAGCAGGGGGGGACTGACACCCCATATTTCAAGCATCTTCAGAAATGTTAAAGGGAACATAACTTACCATTATTAGATAATCAGAAGAATGAAAATGGAAATAGCTGTGCATTTATAGTGCATTAAAAAGTTCCAAATTTTTCAGTGTAAACATGTTTATATTTTTTCTATTAAGGCTACGTCTAGCTTAAACCTGTATCTTGCTGCTAGGAGGGATAAGTGGGGATGAAGACAAGTTCCCACTGTAATGGACTTCAATTACAAGTAATGTAAACTCAGTTACTAAAATTTAAGCTACAATTCCTCAAATATTTTTGTTGAAATATCCAAAGCAGTCTGGATCACTTAAATGCACAAAACACATCACAAACACTGAAACACAGTTGAATTATAAATTAAAACTCTAAAGTCTCTGAGTCAACATGTTACACAAACTAACAAACTAAAAACTATAAATGGAAGAGAACATCCCTGCATTAAAAAAAAAAACAACAACAAAATGAACTACCAGTTCCCACCATCTTGCCTCCATCCAGTCTAGGAGATATCCTCCTTTTACCAAAGGAGGTTAATCTTGATTTCTTTCTGTGGTGGGTTCACCTTGGCTGGCCACGCAGCCACTCTCTCACTCGTCCTCCTCACAGGATGGGGGGAGAATAAGACAAGGAGCTCCCAGGTTGAGATGAAGACAGGGAGATCGCTCATCGATTACTGTCATGGGCAAAACACTCAGGGAGCAATAATTTAATTTACTGCCAACTAGAATAGACTCAGATGGTGAGAAACAAAGACAAAAAAGAAAACACCTCTTCCCCCTTCTTCTCAGGCTCAACTTCACTCCTTCAGTCCCAGCTCCTCTATGCCCCCCACATCCTGAGCCACACAAGAGAGATGGAGGGTAGGGGGGACTGCAGTCAGTCCCTCTGCCACTCCTTCCACCTCACGCTTTTCACCTGCGCCACTGTGGGTCCTCCCTGACAGCTTCAGTCCTTCAGGATAAACCTGCTCCAGTGCGGGTCTTCTCCCCAGGCTGCAGGGGAATCCCTGCTCCGGGCCTGCAGCACCCCCTCCTCTCCTCCTCGGCTGCTCCTCACACATTTTCCCCCTCAACATTTTACCCTTCCTTTAACGGGGTTTTACGCAGGCGCCACCAGCCTCACTGCCCCACGGGCTGTGTGTGCCCTGTGGTGGGGCTGTTCCAGAGCCAGCCGGAACCGGCAAGAACTGGCTAGAACCAGCCGGAACCGGCCCTGTCCGCACAGGGCAGCCCCGCCCTCTCCTCACAGAGGCCGCCCTGCTCCCCGCTGCCAGCGCCCACGCACGGAAACCCCTCACGCTTACTCATCACTTCTCCTCACGAATGCCTTCATAACTCCTTTTGCATCGCCTGCTCTCTCAAAACAGAGAAATATTTGAATTCCCGTAAGCTGTTCCCCAAGATCCTAAATTTCTCCCTAGTTTTGCCTTTCTTGAGACTCATTTATCATGAAGAAATTCACTGAAATCCATCATAATGGAATTTCACCTAGTGTCACAGACAGACATGATAAATGTTAGGGATAATTTTCTTATTTATATTCACAACCGCTACAAATTTATTGCTCCCTTTACTCTCCAACTCACAGTATACTAACGTCCTCTACCTACGAGTGCTACAGGTCTGGGCTTCAGGTGATTTAGGGAGTCCCAACACATTATGACAACAAGTAGTAACAACAGTAAGGAAGATACTGGATCCAAAAATGTCCAGAATTAATGCAGCACATGCTCATCAATGATGGTTCAGCCTAAAAAGCTAAACAGTTGATACTTACTAAGCACAGGACATAAGATAAATGGTTTCCGTGTCAACGTTTATTTCCTACGCAATTTAATCTTGCCTTAAAAACTAGGAAAATCATGTATGTTCACAAATACAAAGAAAAAGATGTCTTTGTAAATATCCAAGCCAATATATCAGGTATTATTCCACAAGTAAACTTTCATTGTGAAATTTGGGGGAGACTCATACTACACAGTCCTATATATTCCTCAGAAATGACATTTCAAACGTTTATAAATGAAGATGACTATTCACCTTACTGCGTACACATTAGGAAGAAACTATGGACAATGACTGTCCCTTCCAAAAAAAACCCTCCTGTCTAAAGCACTTTTAAGTGGTAACATTTTTATAAATTATATCAGCATTTGGTAATCCAAGACTCCCAAATGCCTCCAAATACAGAATATTCACTCAAGCAAGGGACAGCATATTTCAGTGTGTATATGCCATTTCAACAGTTTACTGAAGTAAAATACTACATATAGCCTCTTCTTTAATAGCTGATACTGTTTTGCAGAGATGCTGGATACCACAGTTACCAGTGACGTTACTTATGGACGCACTTGAAAATTGGACCCAAAACTGCATTTGCTGTACCATCACATAACCTATCAAACTGAGAAACACCTTTTCTTTCAGAAAAGAGAAAAGAGAATTAAAGGAGAAAAATCAATGTTTTATCCTTTTTGGTTTTGGACAGTTCTGTCTCTGCACATTCAATCAGACTTGACAGAGATTTCATTTTACTGCAACTTCACAGGCTGTAATGAAAGTAAATGCCCACAATCTTATGAGAGGAAGCAAATAAGAAATGTCATGGCTGAACTAGTAGCCCACTAGCCATTGACGTCCTATGATTAGATCATATATTCTGTCACATTTTCTAACAGGAAGACTCCAACAGACCGAACTAAACAAGCTCTAAAGTTATTGTATTTCGAAATTCACTTTGAGCCAGACTCCACAACTCCCAGCTGAAGAGTGATTATATGAAAATACAGATTGCAGCTCATGAAATATGCTGGCTACCACTGAGGATTCAAACAAAAGCCATTCAAAAAACGATTTAATCTTCCTCAAGAACAATAAGACAACAAAATACTGATAACTGTGTGTGAGAGTGCCTATCTTCATCTACTTACACCCGTCCCTTTCTATACATGCATTTATACGTGCAAACAAAAATAAACAAACCCCACCATTCCAACACACGCAGCACAGGAAGCCCAATGAGGTCAGATGGGCCTGTCCATTATTTCCTCAAAGCACACATTTCCTAGTATTTTACTTTCTTCCAGGATGCAAATGCTTTAAAGCATCTTCATATATAGTCTCCTTCCAGAGACTATAAAGGAAGAGTCAAGAACAGCAAGGAAAAATCCACTAAGTGCTAACCTGAAATACCAAAGCTTTTTCCAAACAACCTGTTGCTACAACAGGGCATCACGCTAACACGCTGTCGGGGCTCTTGGTCCCTATATAGGCTGCTTCAGAACTAACAATGCAATGCAGCACTGCACACATACAGCTTCAGAAGCTCTTTCATAACAACATAAAAGGGTTACTCTAGAGGGGGGGGGAAGAAAAAGAAAAAAAAGTGTCTTATCCACTCTTAGCTTTGCTGTAGTACTCTGGTAACTGCTTGGTAACAGCTCTAGTATTTCTGGTTATTATTTTGTGGATGCTTTCCTGCCATCCCCAATTCTCTTGAACCCACCCAAAGAGTTTTATGCCTCATTCCTTGAAATTTAACATATCTTATTTTCATCTACATACCAATTCAAATTAATATTGTGAAAGGGAACAAGGATGATCTATTTGAATCATCACTATCGTTTAGTGCATGCAATCCCTTTCCTTCATAAAGTATCTAGGAACCAAACCACCTGGAAGGTACTTATTTGTTACTACTCCCCATCAGGCAGTCTGACTCAACCATTTGGTATTTGTTGTGTTACTTACTGCTGTACATTTAGTCAGAGCTGGATGAAAGCCTGAAATAAATCATTTGTAAGAAGAACACATTCCCAGATGTTTTCGAGTTATGTGCCGAAAGCAAAATAAATATATATTCATCTGTATTTATAAACATAGTTTATATTTGAATTAATATTTTTTAATGAATTTGATCCTAGTTTTACAAAGCTGATTGAAGATGACTGTAAATCAAAGTAAAGAGAATTTTGACACAGATGTATAGTAGTTTCTACAGCATTGGCTCTGCCTGAATTATACTACCAATCCTTTAAGGTTCCTTTTCTACAATTTTACTGCAAAGGGTTATTCTTCTCTCTCATATGGGTTCGATTACTTCATTATTTACTATTTCCTCACTTGCTGGACTACCAGACTGTGAACGAGCCTAACCATTTTTAACACAGAGGTGATATGATTCTGCACCTGCCTTACCATGGTGTTATTTGGGCCCCACCAAACTAAAGTTAAACCTTAAGGTAAAAGAATCTGGACGTCATCTCATGCTTTCAACCCCCTTTTCTTTGGCATACTTTTATACTCCTCTATAACTATTCTCCTCCAAATTCCCGAGTTTCAGTAGACTTCTTTTAATACAGATCAGTGCTATTTTGGGTTATCAGTATCGAATGTCAGTGATATCCTGCCCATGTAGGTTTACAGGCTGAATTACCTCATCACTAAAAGGTAGAGATCAGTGCACATACTGAAAAGAATAGCTCTGTAATTGGCATTGCTATTGAAAGGGAGGGGTGGGGGGTGGAAATCTGCGGGGTTTTTCACTGCAATGTAGTTTAACAGTGAAAAATGGGTATACAGTGTTTGTGGGTATACATTACACAACTATATTTATTCCCTAATTAAAGGATAAAACCAAACTAATGTAGCAGTTACAAATCAGACAGATGTCACAAAGCAAGAAGCAATCCAAAGTTATGAATAAAAGCCTTCCCAAAAGCTTTGGAAAACATTTTGAAAAGTATTCATCTAGATATTGTCTTTTGAAAGCATGTAAGTGTATGCAAAAGCTGAAATAACTTTCAAGTGAATCTCAACAGACAGAAATACTTTAGTGTATACAACCCCTCTTC